CGTTACTCCCCAACACTGGCTACAAAGTATATGAGTAATTCATATATGTTTGAGAAATTCAAAAAATCCCCAGCTTTAATATTAAAGTAATGTACACACTAATTTTGCAGTCATCTCTGGTATGAATCTACTGGCTGGCTGGGAGTTTTCTGTGTTTACGTGTCCTCGCTGTGACTGCATGACCTCTCTTCATGTACGCTGGCTTCCTCACACAGTCCAAAGACATGTATGTTATGTTAACTTGTGAATTTAGAGTGTGAGCATCAATGGTTGTCTGTAGCCCTGTGATGGGCTGGTGACCTGTCCTGAATGTGCCATGCCTTTTGCCAAAGGGCTAATGAGACGGTACACACGCAACACCTGTGTCGCCAAATTAGATAAGTAGTTAAGAAGATAGATGGATGGTTAATATATGATCCTACATAATGACTACATTTACTTTGGGCACTTAGAGTAGATTTTTATAGTAAAATTGTTGTACTTCTTCTGTTCTTGGTCATATCTGTGCCACTAATTTAACAATAATAAATAATACATTTAAATCATAGTAAATGGATTTAAGTGTTTATCCTGAAACGGGAGAACCAAGTCAGACTGATCTGAAGCAAAGATCATATACACATACAAACCTGTATTTGGACATTCAAACATCACAATGAAGGGCTCTCGGGCGAGCACATCCTCGTTTTCTTCTTCATACTGGTAGTAATCTGTCACGTTTATTTCATCATGTCTGAGACACAAAGATAAACAGCTGTATTTTAATCTTTTCTGGGGATGATAGATTGACAATGATTAATTTCCTGGATGCTAAACAGAAACACTGAAATATGAAAAGGACTTACTTATTGCTATGAACAACAATTCCTGTACTTTTGTGTTATTATTTCATATTCATGTTTATTTTTAGTTTTAAGATTAAAATTGAAGTTAATTTGTTATTTTTTTCAAAAACTGGTTCAAAGATTTCAGTTTAACCTTTTAAAAAGTTAAAAGAAAAAAATAGTTTTTGGTACAAAATAACATTTATTCCCTTTATCTGAGATACACACACAAACAAATTGTAATGTTTTTAATCAGCAGGTGGTGCTGCAGAAACACAACTGTGAACCTCGTGATGGATACCTGTAGAAGAAGACAAACTGCTCCTTGTGAGAGTTTCGTCCTTTTGGTTCACTGCTCAGCATCTTAAATGGATGAGATTTGTTTTTTCTGTTGAAAAACACAACACAGCTCGATTTAACTTTTATTCTCTTTTGTGTGACTAAACGTGTCAGCAATTTAAATCCCAGTGAAAATGTGACGCACAGCTGCTGAAACTTAACAGCTGGTCTTCATTCTGTGGTTTTAATAAGGAACGATTTAACAGCTTTCAAGTATCAAACCTATTTCTTGAGCATAGAATCTGTATTGAACGTACATAAAACATTCTGTATATAAAAAAAAACAGCAAAAACATGAAGGTTCCAGCCAGTTTTAAACCAAAACTCCTCCCACCCAGTTTAATAACTGGCTAACAGCGGTAGTCACATTGTTCTAAAACAACAACTCGCTAAGCCACGGTTGCTTCATCGTAAACCTCTCAGATGTTCTGTGATTGTTACAGGTTATATAATGTGAGATGAATCACCTATATTCATTGAGCTCCGTGAGAAACTTTTCCATCGCCTTGCCAGTGGGATCCCGAACTTCCTGCATCACCACCAAACTGTACCGAGACACAATCTACGAGAAACACATGAACACGGTAAAAACACGTTTAAAGACGGTAGCATAAAAGAAAATATTAGAAGTAATTTGAAGAAGCTTCAAAGACAATTAAGCAAGCACCACAAATTTAAACAAGCATCAGCTTTCATGAGCGAACGTGAACAACATCAGGAAAATGAAAGAAATTAATGGTCCTATAATCAGCTATGCGTTGTTAGCATTTAGATAATATACTTATTTTTGTGAGATATGAAAAAAAAAAGGAACAGGGCACAGACTGTAGTGGTGGATTACTGTGTTTAAAAAAACCAAACAAATTTAACCTCATGTTGCATTCAATAGCACAAAACTAATAAACACAATCAAAACTCTAATTAAGTCAAAAAGGTCACAGTGTGCTCCACGACCATGATTTACCTTGATAAGGTTTTCCAGTATAATGTCATTATTGACTTTTTTCATTCCGAGGTTCTTCACATTAAACGCTGCAATCTTCATGGTCACTGTAAAAACAAAATTAACAACAGAGACTTCAGCAACAATAACACTGTTTAGCAACTTATTAGCAACTCAGGGATAATGGAGTGTGCTGATGTTCTCCATGTTTGTCTAATACATTACAAATATTGGTAGTTAGCTCTACACCCAAAGTATTAGTTTAAACATTTTAAAATAAAAAAATATATATTTAAACCAGAGCACAAGAACTCGGGTGATGATAAAAAAGATGCAAAGCAGGGAGGAATTGGTCAAGAGCCTCTGTGAGAGGTGCAGAGCCAAATTTAGTCATTGGAAATAAACAAGGAGCAAATATCTTGATTAAATTTACACAATTATTGTTTGGGACGGTGAATGTAGAGAACAACTTGGCTTTACCGTGTGTAACCATGATCACAACCACACAGAAGTGTACAGAAAATAGGATTATTTAATTTATTATCTGTGTTATATTATTATATGTGTTTTATTAGCATGGAAAGATTATATAATTTTAATACATTTAGCCTTATCTTTAAATAAAATAGAGTGAAAAAGTACAAGACAGTAGAAGAAAAAAGTGCAAAGTGTTTTTCTTAGTGTGATTTTATTCATTAATAGCCACAAGAGACATAAAGCAGACAGCAGTGTTGTTGACACATTACCAAGAAATACTGACACAGTGTTTATGAATAGCACATGCTATTCATAAACACTAGGGATGCACTGATACCACTTTTTTGGAAACGAGTAGGAGTACGAGTACTTGCATTTCAGTACTCGCCAATACCGATACCGATACCGAGTACTTAATAAAAACATGATTTAAATTTACAGGTAACAGCTTTAGTCCTATAATTTAACAAAAAACAAACAAACAAGGGACTAGTTTGGAATTAAGAACATTTACTCAACATGTGCTTGATTAAATTACTTGTGTTAAATGCGCTACCTTTAGAGCCTCCTCTGGACAATTTCGCTGAGCACAATTTGCAGTCTGCCTTTGTTTTCGCGTCTTCGTTCACTTTGAAATAGTTCCACAGGGCTCACTTGTCTCGCCTCGCCTTCTCCCAGCTCTGAGATGCAGCCGGGGCCTGGGGGCGGGCACCCGGATCCTGGGGGCGGGCACTCAGCGGCTGTGATTAACCCCTTACATGCTGCTCAAACATAGACAGGTCTCAGACCGTGGTATCGGTCCTCGGTATCGGGGGACTTTTAACGAGTACGAGTACTTTAGAAAATGTGGTATCGAGGCCGATACCCGATACCGGTATCGGTATCGGTGCATCCCTAATAAACACTGTTCATGAATAGAAATTAACTGTTATTCATTCAGTCTATTTAAATTTGCAGGTGCAGATCCTCAACAGTTCACTCAATAGATGAATAATAAAGTGATCATAGCAGTGAAGATGACTCACTAAAACTGGCACACTGTGCGGTTGCAGGAAACTCTTTCATTTAAAACTGAAACAAATCTGAACTGTCAAAACCAGTCGCGTTCTTCTAACAGTTCCTGAAATATGTATTTATCAACACCTTTTATTGTGATGTAGATGTTCTTATTTGACACCTCAAGACTTTTTTTTATAGTATTATTATTATTATTATTGTTATTATTATTAGTTTCTTTTTCTGCTTGGCTGACTTTAGCAGATAAATATCTCCCACCTGCAAAAAACTTCCCCTAACAAAATGAATATAATCTGAAAATCATTTTGGCAGCTTCACAGCAGCCGAGCTGGTTTCCCGCCAATTCTAACTTTGAATTACACAATGCAAAAGTCCAGTCAACTAAACAGCTGCTCAATTGCCTGCAATTATTTCTCAAACTTACCTTTTCTGTAGAAAATGCAGAAAACTAAGAACAGGAATTCACCAATCTGGCTATGATGTCCTTTCGAATTGTCCTTGCTATCAATGGGACTGACTGACTGTTTCTGCAGGCAGAGAGACAGCCCACGCAGTATGAGCATGCGCATACATGCAGCAGACACTTCCCTGAGAGATGGCACAGACCAAATGCAGAGCTGCAGAGTAATCAAATCATAAAATCATTGATTACAAGCAACATTTCCCGACGTTCTTTTGTGGAAATGATGTCAGAAAGGGCCTCAGGATAACACATAGATGTCTAAAGGGTCAGTGAGGTATGGCTGTGTGACATGTTTTTATCCATGGCTGTGGTCATGACAATCCATTCATATACCAAATACATAATGTAGTTTCCTCTATCCTCAGAGATATATAAAGCTTCACTTGATAACAAAAAAATCTTTCCTCCACTGTGACTCAAGCTGTGCCTTTCATCTCTTCCTACACACAAATATTCCCGCTTCTTTTTTGCTTCCCGGTCATTTTAAAATACAGGATGCTTCCTGTTGATGTGCAAAAAACCAAAAAATGTCCTCCCCCACCCACACCACTGAGACATCTTGACTGGATGGTGTGGCTGTTTCACAAAGGCTGTGGTAGCAGCTGTTTCCTTCCTGTTATGTTGCCTGTCTGAAACTGCATAATAACAATGGCAACAAAGTGTTAACAGAACAAATGAGTCATGCTAGTTGGGTTCCTAATTCTTTGTTGGACAAAATACTAAATATAACCAAAGAAAAGGTATAATGCTGACAGCACCTTTGCATCAATATCAGTAATAAAATTAAAAGATTAAAAAGTGATGTTAAAATGTTCTACAGTAGAACAAAAATGTTTACAGCTTTCTTCTAAAGACATTTCTGTACAAATTCATACAGATAATTTAAAACTTTAGTATAAATACAAACAGATATTTGTTTTCTTCAACTCAGGAACTTGGACTGTGTTACCTCAGAAAGTCAGGATGTCTGCTGTTCAACAAGTTTCTCTTCTAGTTTTGGTAAAATTAGAATACTTTATTAGTTTGTTACTTACAGTGTATGTAGAGCAGTTGTTATCTTAACACTACATGACATTGTCGCTTCTGTCTCAAATAAATAAAACAATACAGAAAGGCAGCAATTAAAACAGCCAATGTGTCCGATACATGAGAGGGGTGTATTTTT